AGGTCCTCAAACAATTGTCTGGCCTTCTCACAAATTATAGCTTCATGAATGCTATCACCTGCCATTTCTTTCTCCTTTATCCACACTAAGAGTAAATTTTCCGTCTCCTCAATCACATTACACCTTGCTTTGCTAAGTCTAGAGATACCCTTAGCCAACTGCACTGTTTTCAACTCCTCTTTATTCTTTAAAATCGTACATATAGTCGATTTAGCCATCCCATACTGTACTCATCACTAAGTTTCGCAATGCTTGTTCCATCCTCACGTTTCTTTATGATTTCTTTCTTAGTTTCAAGAGTTATGAGCTTTCTCACTCGCTTTGGACGATTCATTGTCACAATTGTACACTTGTATAACAAAATATTTATACAAATAACTCTATTTCCACATCAAAAGACGAAATTTCAACAATAACAGTGGTGCTCTGGCTACGCAATGAGACAAAGATGGCGCCTGACACTCTTGTTGTGGGTCGCGGTACAACAATATTCATGCGCCAGGCGAAATAGTCCGGTATTCATCCGCGTTCGTTGTAGGAGTTGCGTTCGTTATAGCATTCTCAATTTAATAGGTAAAACCGTTCGTTATAGGATTATTCGTAGTAGGGTCCGTTCGTTATAGCATACCCCACTGTACCTGGTACATGTTTTTTCATAGATTTAAAGTAAGTCTCGATGTTTAACACCGGTTATGATTTTTTCATATATTTATGTACATTTTTTGTTTAATTAAAATATCAGTGGCAAAGAGGATAAAAGTAACAAAAAAGCAAACTATTTAAAAAAATCTTCATTCAATGTGATCTTGATGTTAAACATAATTTCTGATGTTTTAAATGTTTACAGTATGGTAGTCATTAATTTTGTTTTTCATTAAAAAAATCTTAAGCTTTGTTCATAGTAAATCATGAATCTTTTTTACTTTTTAAATTATAATTAAAGTTTACTGTGTTTTAGATAAAGTACAGTACAATTTAAACAAGAAAAATGCCATAAAAAATAACCCCAAGGAACATAACCCACTCCAAATAATAAAATTAGGGTTAGCAGCATAGATGGGAGTTTTGGAGGGTGGTCTGTCCCTAACCCCCTGAATTTATGTTCTTATGGGATTAATTGCTTTGATAACCATTGGTTCAATAACCAACAACTTTTCCCAGAACCTATATGTTGGTTATTGGTGTACACCTGTACAGTACTCTCATTTCTCTGGGGAAGATGGTTTGTCAAATGTAGATATCTAAAGGTATTAGGTTCTGTATGCTGTTTGGTGCATCTTAGGATGGAAGAAATTGCTAAGTGGTTGTCTTGAAAATTAAACGTTTCTTAAAAACCTGGAGGTACAGTAAGTCCTTGTTTAACGTTGCCCCCGATAACGTTGTTTCATTAAAACGCGCTACTCTTTAAATACCAATAATTCGGTTAACGTCCTGACATCTCAATATAACGTAATTTTTAGCATCGTCATGGACTACTTTTTACAGTGCATCACCCTCTCTTGTTTTGCCGAGCTACGTTCTCTTGTCTTGGTGCGCTACCTCTCACTCACGGAATGTCACAGCGTCCCCAAGCGTTGCCAGTCTTTGTTAGGCTTCAGCAGCGTTCGTGACCGTTAAGTGTTTTTGCTCTTTATACTGTACTATAACAATTCAAAATGGCTTCCAAGCACCCATCAAGTGCTACTGATGCTATTCTTGTGAAGAAGCAACGTAAGACCATTAGCCTTGCTACGAAATTGGAGGTTTTAAACTGGGAGGAGGAGCCACACACTTGCTCCACCACCTCCGTCCATCAGTGAGTATAATACAAAATGATTTAATTTATTTATGTATACCCTGTACAGTATACTGTACAGTAATACCCGATTTATGCGGTTCCCGTTTACGCGGTATCCCGCCAGAACCGGAATTCCCACTTTATGCGGTGCATCTACTCATATAGGCGGAGAGCGGCTGGCGGTCCTGCCGCACCGCCATTTTTGGATTCAAACCTCCCGCCATCTCCCTCCATCCCGCCATGCTTGGGCAAGCGGCGCGAGTAGGTTGCGCAGTGGATGCCTCTGTTGCGTTATCGCTGACGTCATATGACGTATCGGACTGTGATTGGGCCACGCATCCTAACCTCCCTCCGCCGCTAGCTGTGATTGGTTTAATGTAATATGATGTGCCTTCCTGCTGGTGGGTAGAAGGCGCTTGACCTAGCCGGTTCAGTTACATCCCTCCCGGCCACACTGTGTATACAGGCATCTATTGTTCCGTAAGAATGGCTGCCGCCGGACCACCACCACCACAGAAAAAGCTTGCATTACCTGGATCCAGCCGCCCTAAGCCAAAGAAGATACGACGTGCCCTAAGTTACGAGGTGAAGTACAGTATAATACAAGAGCTAGAAAAAGGAACAAGACAGGTTGATCTCGCACCAGCATGGTGTTAACGAATCTACGATCCGGACGATCAAGAAGGATGCAGCCAAGATAAAAGAACACATGAACATCACAAAGTCTGCAGGTGCTTCAATGATCAAGTATTGCCAGAACAAGGTGCTTCTCAAGACAGAAAATTTACTTGTGTGTTACTTGATTCGTCAGGCAAGACGGAACATGGCAGTCGACACTCGGTCAGTTCAGGAGTACACACGTGAACTGTACGCAGCAGTGTCACGTAAGATGGGAATTGCAGAGCCCAAACCCTTCAATGCTTCCTTTGGGTGGCTGCACAGGTTTAAGAAGAGGAACAAGATAACCAACATTAACATTGGTGGTGAAGAAGCGAGTGCTGACCGTGTTGCGGCTAGGGATTTTTCTCCGTTCTTACGTGAGATTATGGAGGAAGGATAGTACACCGACGACCAGGTGTTCAACATGGACGAATCTGGTCTTTTGGAAAAAGCTTCCTTCCAAGACCTTTGTTATCCAGTCTGCCAGCAAGTGTCGGGGCCGGAAGTTCCAGAAGGAGCTCATAACCGTCCTGTTTACCACCAATGCCTCCGGTTCCTGTAAATTCAAGTTATCGGTGATCCACACAGCCCACACGCCTACAAGAACATGGACATGACCAAGCTAAATGTTCACTGGTTGACCGCACGTAAGGCGTGGATGTTCTCTGCTCTGTCCCTCTCCTGGTTTCATGACTGTTTCGTTCCCAACGTGAAGAAATTCTGTGAGCAACAGAATGTTCCATTCAAGATTTTGTTGCTCCTTGACAACGCACCAGGACACTCGCCCCTACTGTTAGATCGTCACCCCAACGTAAAAGTGGTCTTCCTTCCTCCCAACACTACGTCATTAATCCAGCCCATGGACCAAGAATTAATCTGCAATGTGAAAGCTGCATACTCTGCAAAGAAGTTTAAGCTCCTGAACGACTGTACCAACACCAAGGATGAGTTGCGTAACCTGGGTAACACCGATAGCAAGAGCGACGAGGACGAGGAACAACAGTTGGCGGAGCAAGAAATTCTCGTCAAACAGTTTTGGAGGAAATTTAACGTCAAGAAAGCTGTGGACTTCTTGGTGGAGGCATGGGATCAGTTGTTTGTAGCAACAGTTCGTCACGCATGGAGACATGTGTTGCAAGGTATCCCAGGTGGGAGGCAGTCAACCTGTGACTGGTGAGGTTCAGTCTGTTGCAGTAGCAGTGGACTTTGCCAGAGAAGCTGCGCAGAGTGTTACAGCTGCAGGCTTCTCCGAGACCACCAACGAAGACATCCTGGAGGTGATCAGGGATCCTTAGGTGACTGCCAATGAGAAGTTAGAAGACGGTCACGTCAGTGAAGAGCAGGTGGTGCGTCATCCCTAGAAGAACACAAGTTAACACATGGTTAATGTTAGGGGTGCCATCGAGTGTGCAGAGAAACTGAAGCTCCTCCTTTCCGACGACCCTAACGATAACCGGTATGAAGTCTTCACTACCCAGCTGTTGCAGGCTATGGAGCAGTACATCAAGGTGCATCACGACAACATCAACACTAGCCTTCAACAAAGCATTACCGAGTTCTTCGCCCGCAACCCACCACAGCCAGCCCAAGCCAGTGATAGTGACAGAGACAGTGATGGTGACTTTGAGGGATTTGTCAGGGAGGCCCTGACAAATGTGGATGACAGTGATGGTGACACACCTGAGGGCCAGTAGTCTGCCCTCTGCCTCGGAACCAGCCGCCATTCCCGTACGCCGACCCATCTCTTCTACTAACGTAAGTGTTAAACTTAACCTTGATTTTTCCTCACATAACCTAACCTTACATAAGTGTTAAACCTTGATTTTTCCTAACATAACCTAACCTTAGGTAAGTGTTAAACCTTGATTTTTTCTAACCTAACCTAACCTGACGTAAGTGTTAAACCTTGATTTTTCTTTTACCTGGTACAGTACATTATTCTCTTAATGATATTTCTCTTCTATATTATGTGTGTGTGCATACCATCATAAAGTTAAGATGTTATGTTTAGTACGACATACATATTGTGCCGGGAAAAGTGGAGTTTGGGGGTCGGCCCAGTCTCTATTTCAATTAATCCCATATGTTCTGTTGTTTCCATTTACGCGTGCCTCAGCGGGTTCAATTGACCGCGTAAATCGGGGTATTACTGTACTATATTTTATAAAAATGCGATTGAATTTCTGTACAGTTGGGTATATGTAATGTAATTCATGGGGCAAAGGGAGGCTCAGGAACGTAACTCCCTTATTTGATCTATTTCTTATAGGGAAAATTTATTCAGTTAACGTTGCGGTTTTCAGGAATGGAACCACGACGTTAAGCGAGGACTTACTGTACAAGATTTATATAATATTTTTTGTTAATGTTTGAGAAAGAGTATTGTGCTATAGTATAACACATTTATTACATAAAGCTTGCAATGATTTCATTGCTGTTGGTGCACAGCAAAGTAAATGTTTTAGATATTTCATATTTGAGTACCCAGTTGACAAATATTTTCTTGGTTACATTTTACCCATCTTATATATGTAATACAGTACTGTCATTTTCATACTTGTAGGCCAGTGAAAACAGCCATGTACTAGTGGTTTATGAGGTGGCTGTGAGCATCCAGAAGTTGGTGGTCAGGATGGGGTCTAAGCTACATGTAAATTCATGGACCCTCGTTTTGAAAATCCTGATGAATGTGTTTATGCATACAGGTAGGTGAGCAAGTGTTAAGTACTAAAGTGTTTTGAGTTGAAATAATTCTGAATAATTCAGTCAATTGGTACAACAAACTCATTTTATTGTTCACCAACACCACCGTGTACAGTATTTAGAATTGGTCCATAATATCAACTGTTGTGGTGGTGATCAAGGTCTTGCTGCAAATTATATCTAGTATCATACCTATTGTTTCTTAAAGGCTGGAGTTGAATTATATACAAAGTACTGCAGTATATGAAAAATCAGGCCCTTTACCCAAAAATATAGGGGTTGGGTTATATATGAGGTACACTCGCAACAAAAAGTATCTGTGCATACTGTAGTGTGAACAATTTGAGATCAGTGACGATAGGTATTGGGAAAGGTGAGTTGTACCAGCCGTATGTTGGCAGCCCTGTAATCCTGCTGAGCTGCTACTGTGGCCTGGTCAAGTGAAACAAACCGTTATAAATAAGGTCGGGAAGTGATAGACAGTATGAAATATGAGGAGCTCCCTGTTAACAAAATTATTTGTGATACTTGTGAATATTGCCACTTAAATTTATGCTGCCAAATAAACCACTCAACCTGGTCGTCCTGAGGTGGTGCAGTGTGGACGGCCGCTCTGAGACCTGTCGTCTGTAGCACCAGTTTCGAGGTATCGCCGAATCCATCGTGCAGCTGTGTTCCTGTGGACACCAACCCGCCAGCTAATATCTGCGACGCCGAACCCTTCGTTATGAAGGGCAATAATAGCTCCTCGTGTTCCCTCTGAGGTTTCCATGTCGTCTGGCATGTGTAGATCTCTACTGCTTCATATTGTCTCTGTTTTATACCCACGTTCACCGAGACCGAACCCTCGCTCATCATTCAGTCGACACAAAGCAACAATCTGAAAAGAGGAAACAAACACACTGATTGTCAGCCATATGGCAACACCTAGTGGAGGGGGTGGGGGGGGTTATGAGGATACACTTACCAACCTTCCCGACATATCATAGTGTATACGTATTGTTTCGGAAGTCGTCGATCACACCCTGCACCAATACTTTTTGTTGCAAGTGTACTTATTCAGGAGTATTTTTTTTATTTTATTATTTTTTTTAAAGGGTATTAGCCCACCCGGGCACAGGTCACTGACCCACATCGGGGCCTGGGAGGGGAAAATTAAAAAATAAGAATAGTAATTCATAGTAAATAAAATTTATAATAAAAAGTAAAATAAAATAATAACAACATTAATAATAATAACAATACTGTAATAATGATAATAAAGAAAAAATAATAATAATCAATAGTGAGAAATGCTATATGTATAGTATGTTGTGTTGTCAATAGGAAGAGAAACAATTGAGATCCTGCAATTGTGTGTAAATGAGGCAGAAAGACAGATCAGCAACCTGGGACTTGGTCACAATATTCGTGATGCCATATGGCAGCAGGGTCTACCATTAGACAACACATTATGCTTCCAATATCTTCCCAGGCGGTAGTACCTCCCTGTTTGATAGCTACCTGCTACCTCATGAACGGGTTATAACTTTACAACTTTAAAAAGAAAGGAGAAATACAGAGAATCACCTTATAATGATGTTGATACTGAAGTACAGGGTGCTCCCCAAGTTCGCTGATTTTTACTTCACAGTTGTCGTTTATTTGTGGATGACACCCTGGGTGTACCCAAGAGTGTCTGTGGGTAGTTTTAAAGTTACCTGCATTTTCACAGCTGGGACAGGGAGCCATTCATTTTAGAAACAGTAATTTCCTTTACCTGTACAGGGTATTGCAAAACACATACAAATAAATAATACGGACTGGGAAAATACTCTCACAAATACTGTAATCAAATTTATAAAAAAATGTGAGTCTACCTTCAAGTCCGTGCTCTTTTACAGTACGTACTTTATTAATAGAGCACAGACTTGAGGGTAGACTCACATATTTAATAAATTATTTGTATGTGTTTTGTGTGTCTGTGTCTACACACACACACACACATACAATACTACAGGTAAAAGAAATAATTGTCCTAAGGGCAAACACATAAAGGGAATATACATTTCTTTGTACACAAGTAAAAATGTAACCTCCCATCCACCCGGTTTGCAAATGTTATTCACGGATTTGGCGATTCGAGGCCATTTTGAGAACCTAGCCCCGCGAATTTGGGGGGCCCCCTGTAGTTATGTGGTTAATAGTTTTAAAATTGAAAAAAAAACTTGCATAATCTTTATTAGATGTTTGTTCGCTTCATTGAAGCATATTTTAGTAATGTAATAATGAATGAGTGTTACATGGTATTTTACGATTTTTAGTGAAAATGACAGAGGAAAGGATTGAAAAACCGACCATATTGGCTGTGCTCTCAGAAGCAGTGGATGGCATAGAACACCTTGTGGAGTCGAGGGAATATTTTGGATCTCATGGCCAGTTTTACTTGCTGGTGGACCAGTATTCTCAACTACGGCCAGTAAGGAAACAAAGCTGGCAGGAAGTGATTACTGAGCAAACATTGGTTTACTGAAATATTCCTTAGTATGCATAGGATACTTTTGTTAATATTGTTTACTATTTTACTTGCAGGAGGCTTCTGTTATCAAACTACTGGATTATCAAGAAATGAACTTAAATCCTGCCAATCCACTATGGCTTGTTAAGTTGGCCAAACTGTTTACCCATCACTATCATGGTGACCAAAGACTGAAAGTAAAAATGAAGGCATTGGATATTCTCTCGCATATTTTCAAGAATAACAGGTTACAGTATAACGATTATTTTTTTATTGTACTTGTGTGAAATGACTGAATAGTTTTCAATATTATTGATTACAAAATGCAAAAAGATGCACCTTGGTCATACCAATATTGAGGAGGCATATCACGTCCCAAAGTGACAAAGAAATGTCAGTAACTGGGTGCGTAAGTTGATAGTGAACTAAAATTTGTGGACCATTGTGAGAAGAAAGGAAATCAAGCAGATAAACCGCATACCTGGACTACTATAATAATTTGCATTTTTTGCTTAAAGAATAATCATTGAATATACTTTTCCTTTATACAATTATAATTTATAGATCATACTAAAAAAAAATCCCTTTTTAGTTAGTTATACTTATTAAAATATTGCTAAACTTTAACTGCATTTTCTGAAATTTTGTACTTTTGTTGCATGTTTATTTCTTGCCTGGAGTGCCCTCTATATCGACATACAATTTTTCAGTTTTCTCCATAGAAGTTTTGATATACTGTACTGTACAGGTGTTTTGTAAACTTGTACTGCAACTTCTTTTTACATAATCTATCTTCCTTTTCATTTCCACTTACCTCAGTTGCACTTTTTATCTTTTCCCTTCTGTTTTAGTTTTCTTTGGGCACCTTCTTTGTATCATTATCTTGTGACAATCTTGCATTGTGTTAGCATGTGATTTACTTCTGGAATGTTCGGGTGATTATATGTAAGCTGTAGAAATGTTAATTTCAAAACTTTTAATTGTTAAGTGCTTCTAAACTTTTTTTTTTTTTTTTTTTTTATAGATATGTCCACTATCAAAGTCACAACTTCTTCAAAACTTCTAAATCACCAAATAGAGAGTTATTGCATTTGAGTTAAAGTTCAGTTTTTCACATGAAATTTCAATATATACCTGTATACTGTAGATGTCAGTCATGGATAGCCATTCAGTTTGGAGATGATGTTAATACAGTAACTTTGTTATTCTCAATGGGGTGTGAAGAGTGAAGGGTAAATCATAGAAAATAATTAGTGATTACAATAGATAATAGACCAAAAAATTATGTACCATTTTATAAGATCATTGTAATTAGTATGAATAAATAGATGTACTAGCAACTTTGCTTAGTTTAGTAAACTGTGTTATGGGAATTTGATTCCTGTAACTTATTAATCATCATCCAGTATCTTAAATGAAAAGTAGATCAGTAAATATTGCATACTGGTCTTTGTGAAACCTAAGGTGAAATTAATTATATTAAATGTTGGTGACTAATTCAAACACATGAGAACAAATTGTAAGAAGCATTTTATTGATATTTTACTTCTCATATTCGACCTAATTCTCAATTGAAACTACTTGATAATAATTAGTGGAAGATTTAGCTTAATAAAGCACATAGAATACAACAGTTTATGCATTTTTAAACTTTTGGGTTTGAATTTGTTCTAGTCAAGTATATGGGACGGAGCTCATTAGAGAAGTGATCGTGCCTCAGCTGAATGGAGTTGAAAAAGAAACTGAAGTTAAAGTTAGAACAGCTGCTGTCAAATTTCTCTGCCAGATATCTGTGACACACAAATCTGACATCATCTTGGATGTACTGAACATATTAGAGAAGGTAAAGATTGCAGTCTTTCTTTGTACAGTTGTGGAAATGTGTTCTACACACCCTGTGGTAACCCGTGTCTCCAATTGGTAACATCGCAGTCGTAGTAGTATCACTATTTGTGAATGAATGGGTATTGGTTGTGTAATGATGGATGTGACTGGTTTGCTATCGTATAGGTAGGCCATTGGAGACACGGGTTACCACGGGGTGTAGAAACACGTTTCTGGAACTGTACTAGGAATTTTTTATTCAGAATTATATGCTTTTATAATTTCACATATCTTAGACTAATTGTGCTTAGTCAGTAGCAAGGCTATTGGTGTTCTTTGTACATTCTTTATCCAATTGGGCCAATAAGTGTAGGATTTTAATAGTGGAGAGGAGGAGAGCTCGAGGTAGGCCAAGAATGACATGGGAAGCGGTTGTGAGAAATGACGTTGAAGTTAAAAACATGAAAAGAGGACTGCAAGAGATCTAGCAGCATAGAGAGCTGCAATCAGGTAATTGCAACTAACCTGCGCAAGCATGGAAAATGTCCAGAAATGTTGTTGATGACGATTTCTTTGTCTTTTTCACCGTTGGTCAGCTCGCTAGCTGTTTGTAAGGTTGGTCAGTTTTCAGTACATATTTAACTTTTACCTTATCCTCCTCGCCATTGATCAGCCTGTTAGCTACTGGGCGGTCAGTCACATCTCTACTATCCACTGTTGGCAAGTACTGTGCATGCACTGGCTCCAGAATGTACCTGGACCTGTGTCATTGTTGGTCAAATCTGGTCTTAATATGAGCTCACAACACTCACTGGCAGGTTATTCGAAAAGTTCACACCTCATTCTAAAAAAGTTTGCCCTATCAATTCTCTTACCTTGTGGCATCCACCAGTTTCAGGTATAAACACTCGACTGAGTAATGTGTTCTGAGGTGCATAAACTTGTATTAAATCACCCCTTGCCTGTGTAAATTAGGCAACTAGTCATTCTGAACCTCTCTGGGCACCTGAGGTGTCAGGGTGCAATCATCATTCTGGTGGCCACTGTTGGATGTTCTCAATCAACTGACAGGATACTCTTAATATTGACAGTTGGGACTAATTAATTGATTACCTGGTATACTATACCATTGAAACCTTATTTCTTAGAAATTTATGAAAATAAATGTTGTCATAGTTAGCCTGAAGTCATGACATCACACTGTTCATGTAGTCTGCCTGTCCATTGTTGTCCACTATGTAGGAATCTCCAGAACCAGGCCAATTCAACTTGGCTGTTTTTCTGTCTGAGACACTTGTAGTTTTGACTGCTCCATTTCCATGGAGCTAAATGTATCTGGCTCCTATACAGTAATTTAACTCTTCACAAAGCTTTAACAAAATATTAAAATAATAAATAGGTTCTATGTCTGAAAACTGCATAGAGGCAATTTTTATTAAATCTGAGTGCAGTACCATTCTAAACCAACAAAGTTTCTGTACAATAAATTGAAGAGGGTAGAAACATGGCAGCAGCACACCAGAGAATCTGCCAACCTGAATGTGTCATGGTTTTGAAAACTTTATTGGTTATACCCTTTTATATCATCACAGAATGCTTCTTTACTGAATAACTTGATATATAAACTAAATAAATTTTCATTCTGGTAAACGGTATCATAGATGATAAAACACAAACTGAGAAATGCTATGAAATTAGACATAATAATTTGTTAGGATATTAACCTTCTCCCGCACAATGATGCGAATCGCGTCAAATCATTGGGTCGCACTATTTGCACTGGTGATGCAAATCACGTCACAAAACTTAAAAAAATTTGCCAACATTATTTTTAAGATAATTGCATCAAATTTTTGTGTCCCACATGACTGCATGATCTTGCGAGGGAAGATTCCAGAAAGTACCAAAGATTTGGTGGAAGTCTGCAGTCTATCGGTTTCCTCCCGTCAACCATACCGGAAGATCGGGTTTGTCCCTTTATCTCTTCTTCCACCCTCCCCATTATTAGCCATATTAAAATTCCAAAGCCATTCTTGGAAAGCTCATAAAATTTCACTTTTATAACTATATACACCTTGGTAGGTTTGAGAAAATGTCAGAAATGTGATGCTCGGAACACAATGTTTTTCTCGATTCAGAGTGAAAATAGTCTTAGTCTTGTCTCTTTTTCTGCTTATGTTAAAGCCAAACCAATAAAGAAGCTAGTGATGTATAAATCATGCAAAAGAAAATCTTGTGGGATGAATTGGCTGCAGAATGAAGATGACCAGATCTCCCGTGAGTGGTCACAATGACTTGTTATGGTCACAGAAACTTAAAAAAATTGCTGTAGAGAGGGCTCACAGTTGAGTTTTGCTTAAAAGTATTACATTCTGGTAGCTATGTCACTATTATTTTATTTCCAACAAACCTTTTGAGCATAATATTTGCATACTATACCAGGATACTTACAGACCACACATGCATTCTGCCCCTACATATGGTATTACCTTTACCCTCTTCGCCACTGATTGGTTTATCATTGTGTTGTTGGCCAGTTGGTCTCTCCAGTGTTAGCGTTGTATAGGAAGAAGCCTTGATGCCCAAATTCAGAACGGTGGTTTGAGCCTGGGATTTGAGCTCGGCTCGCGCGTGCGAATCGGGATTCCATTATCTGAGATTTCCTGCAGTGGAATACCCATATTCAGAACATTGGCTTGAACCCCGGATCGGGTAATCTGTTGCATTTTCTTCAGTTCCGAGCAAGGATTTAAACACGGAAATTCCAACCAATCATGTTTCATTAACACCATTACGACAGCCATTCACCATCGAGAGTAATGTTTACAAGATTATGGCGGCAACTATGACTCGACAAGTTTTTGAGGAGACATCTCTCCTTGCACATCATAGGTTACTTTTGTTACTATAATTACAATCAAATTATGAACAAATTATGATTTATAGTACAGGTTGTACCTCTCTAGTCCGGCATTCTGTGGTCCGGAACGATTTTAGTTTGTCCAATAGGTAGATAGGCAGCTTTTTTTTTTTTATCTGAATTATTATTATTATTACAGGAGTATTAAATTTTTGCCCCTCAGGCCCCAATGTGGGTCAGTGACCTATGCCCGGGTGGGCTAATCCCCTTAAAAAAAAAAAAAAGCCGCGGGAAATTAAGGTTTGTTTACATCCGGCAGTTCGGCTGCTCTCTCTCTCTCTCTCTGCTTGTCTATACAGAGTACAACATTTAACCCTTCAATATATATGAGCAGTAAATAAGTGTTGCTTTCATATTCTTATGTAGAGTAATGACGATATATTTTCACATGTGCGCACTTACATACGAGCAGTCTAACTTTTTTTTTTACCATTAATGGTTAGCTACTTATATTGTTCCATTTATTAACATTAAATAACATTACAGGTACTTCAAGCAACCATATTCATTTTTTACATTAATTTTACTACAGCTAAAATCAGGGTCTTATTTTCTTCAGTTTTATATGTAGAACCAATCAGTCACTGGTTTCGTAAGCTTTATCATAAACAATGCCGGCAGCTGTCTCGTCTCCTCTAATATTCCATGTATTATTAATAAATTGTATTGTTAATTTTGCACACGTACATTAATTCAATAAAAACAAATTCAGAAACATTAATTAAAATATATATATGAACAGTAAATAAGTGTTGCTTTCATATTCTTATGTAAAGTAATGACGATATGTTTTCACGTGTGCGCATGCGCACTTACATATGCGATCTCTCTTTTTCTTTACCATTATCGTTAGCTTCTTCTATTGTTCCATTTATTAACATTAAATAACATTACTTAAAACAACCATATTAATTTTACTACAGCTACAACCAAGGTCTTATTTTCTTCAGTTTTATATGTAGAACCAGTCAGTCACTGGTTTTGTAATCAACGAAAACAATGCTGTGTCATTTCCTCGTGTGTTTTAATTTTCTACGTATTATTAATGAATTGTATTGCTCGTTTTGCACACATAAACATTAATTCAATAAAAAAGACATTCAGTAATACACAATAATGAATCTTTTGTACATAAGAGAAATGACGCTGTTTACACGATTATGCACGTCGTCTGCACGTTGGCGGGCCGTTCAAACCCGTCGAAATTCAAGTTTCCACCGTCAAAATTTTTATTTATTTATTTTTTTGTGTGTTCCAATAAAATACGTTAAGAATTAAAAACTCGCTAAATTTGAGAAGCTACTATACGACATTTAACCCTTCAATATGTCTTCAAAGAGACCATGATGCAGAGAAAGTGGTGCTAGTGCTTCCAGGCATAAGCACAAGTCACTATCTATCCAGGAAAAGGGTGAATTTCCATGGTCCGGCACCGGTCAGGTCCCGAGGTTGCCGGACTAGAGAGGTACAACCTGTACTGTGTTAGAACGTGGGTGTTTTGTTATACGATGAAGAAATTCATAGGGGAAGAACAATTTCATACAAATTGTCAGTATAATCCGGGACAGGTATCAAAATTTATAACCAAAGCAAGATGAATCAGTGCAGGGCGTAATAATCTGACGAAGTTCGGTAAGGTCAGGTTTCTTTTTGTTCTTTTAACCCATCATTTCCCCTAATTAGTAATGCTAAGAAAAGCCTTTCCTTTATTAATACAGTGGTCCCTCGGTTAACAAGCACAATTCGTTCCAGGAGGTTGCTCGTTAACCGAAACCATTGTTTCAATGTTTTTTTTGGGTAATTGGTTCCAGCTCACCAAAAATTGCCTAAAATCAACAAGAAAGGGAGTAAAGTACACTTACTTTGAGGTGTGTATGTTGAAGGCTCCTGGATGATGATGATGATGGGAATTAGAATGGGGGTGGAGGAGATGGGAGAAGAGAAAGCATTGGGGTGGAAGAGAAGTCACCCCATGGTGCCATTTCACCCATAAAATTTAGTTCTTATGGTGTAATTCAAGATTATTTTCTTTAAATCAACACTGCACTTCATTATATATTGTCAATATGTAAAATAAATTTCAAAATGACCAATAATTTGCTTGGAAACACAGAAAAAAGTGTTTAGTTGATGATGAGTCTCAAGCAAGATGTTACCTCCACTGAAAAGACAGAGACTGACGCCTGTTTGGTGTGTTGATAGGCTGGATGGCGTGCATAAAACCAGTTTCCTGTACTTCAATTATGTTCAATAATTGTTAAAATGACTAAAAAATTTAATATTAAACTTTTAAAATTATTGAATTGTATAAACTTTTTGATATTTACTAAAATAGTAAGGAATTTAGCCCTAGAACCGATTACTGTATTGGCGGACTAATACTACAGCTGGTGGACTGCCAAATGCAAGCGAAAACATGTTGAGGTTCGCTCGTAAGAAACTCGTTAATCGAGGGATTGCTCGTTAACTGAAGTTAAGAATCTTATGGAAGGTAAATCGTTAACCGAGGCGCTTGTTAACCGAGGGATCACTGTACATTAAAATCAAAATGCACTCAGCATTGATTTAATTATATTGAAAATACATCAAAATAGTTTTCCTAAATAAAAACACTCAAAACAAAGAAACAGCAGCGTTCTTTACATTCACCCGCTTGATCTTCATGGACCCTAAACACGAAAGTGTTATAACACATTACCATAACTCATTCAGTAACCAGAATCTTTCTTACCTAGAACCTATTCGTTACGAATAATCTCAAAGCAATCGCCAGCTGATGAAAGGGAGGTAGAGGTGAATCATAGCCAACAGGTCAGTCAAGTAGATGCTCCATATCATGGAAAATATCAAGGAAATCTCCCTGCCAAACCTTTATTGTTCTCTGAATTGCGTGCCATCATAAAATTTTTTAGGATTCTGCCTATCTACCCTCAGTCTTCTCTCTACAAAATTTCCAATTTGACGATATTGCCAAAAAGTACGCTCTGTCAAAATTCATGTTGATTTGCTATCTTGAATGACAGATTAACCGCTAAATCTGTCTCCAGGCTGGTTTAACACGAGGATCGACAAATCAGATCTCAAACCCAGTTTGAATCTTTGTGTTGGCTCAAGCCAGCATTCTGAATACCAACAATCTTCTTTGCACATCCTTGGTTTAAACCTTCATGCTGTTTCAAACCAGCATTCTGAATTCAGGCCTTAATGTTTGGCAGGATCACACTGGATAACATCCTTCCCACGTTTGTTTGGGCCAAACAGGACACGAACCCATGACATAGTAGTGAGAGATATTTATTTATTGCTTTCCCACCAGCACCAACCACCCCTGAACATTACCCATATTGTAGTACCTTGCATGTTCATCCCTTTTGAAAGCTTTTATACTAATTAGAAGTCCCAGTCATGTGTGTGAAATTAACTTACAGTATTGTACTATTATTTTTAGGTTCTGTTGGCATCATATTTGAAGGAAGAGAGAACTGTTTTGCAGGAAAGTGAAGCTACAGATATTGTTGCTGTAGTTGATGGCTTGATACAAGTCTTTAAGGTTAAGATGTGGGAGATACCGGCATCCCATTCACTGAGTGCATTTACAATATTGCTTCGATGTTTAGATCATCATTACCAAAACACTAACCTAAAGAGAGTATCTACAATAAGATATCTGGTAAGTATTATTTATTTGTGTTTACCTTGACATACAGTACTATACTCTTTTAATTCACACATGTGTAGCTGTACTGTCTTATCTTTTTGCTACATTTTCCAGTAACACCTTCAGTCTAACAAATTATAATGCTAGCGCTTTTACATCATTACAATAAACTAATTCTTAATTGTATTCCTTAAAGGTATACCGGCAGTTTCTGTTTACAGTATTTTTACCTCGGGAGTCGAGGATAAGAGGGCAGAAACTATTTGTTTTCTGGGGGTTCCTTAGATTAATTCACCTTTTATATCATTACAGTCTCTCCTCGACTTACGACGGGGTTCCGTCCCGACAACCAGGTCGTAAGTTGAATTGGTCGTTAGTCTAAAAGGTGAAAATAATACAGAAATTCTAAAATGAAATACAGTACAGTAAAAGTAATCAATAATGAAAAATGAATAAAGTGTTACTGTGCACTTACCTTTAATGTAGTCAGCTGAATGCACACGGGGTCTCAATAATTTCTTAATTAAGCATGTAGACTACATTAATTGGACGAAGCAGAGGAGGAGACAGGGTTGGGTGGGTCATCAAGTTCACTTTCTTCAGACAGGCTAACATACTTACTTGTTGAAGGTGTTAGATCATCTTTAGGGAGTGAAGAGGCAGCAGTGGTGGGGTGTGAGGAGACAGCAGTGGGGGACTTCTTAAAAAAAATGTCCAATTTAGACTGCACAGTTTGCCTTCTCTTTTCATTGTAAATCTCCCTGCAGCAAGCAAGTGCATCTTGGATCGGTCTCAACTTTTGAAAAACGCTCAACTTTTTTATCCATTTCTTCAAACATTTGCATCTTATTATTAGTAGTAGCAAATGCCTCTGCCATTTGTTTCACTGAAACTTTTTGGGGGGTGCAGGTTCTTCTACATTTCGTTCTCTTCTTCCTCTGCAATTTTCTGTGCATCCGGTTCAATAAGATCCTTGTTACTTAGTTCTTCTGCTACACCTTCCACCAACTGCTCAACATCTTCATTATCAATTTCTAACTCCAGCTGTTGACCCATCTGCACTATCTTGTTACTAATCTCAGAAATTGCTTCATCTTCATTAAATCCTTTGAAACTGTTCACAAATCTTTTCAGGACCTTCTTCCATATTCCATTCATGCACTGACCTGTAACCTCATCCCATGCTGCAGCTATGTTCTTTGTACATTGCAAAATGTTGTAGTCCTTCCAAAACTCGTGGAGCGTTTTCTCACCTTCAGTAGCAGCAATAGCCTGAGCAAAGGTCGTACGTAAATAATACGCTTTAAAAGCAGCAATAGCACCTTGATCCATGGGTTGGATGATGTATATATTATTTGATATGAAGATACCTTCCTGTCAGTGGTATTTATAACTTGAGTAAAACATGATGGCTCAATTTGGCTACTTGTACACCTACACAACTGATTAATGAATGACCCAGGGTATATGTAGATGCATAATACCGTACACTGCAATATTACTTAAAAGTGCTGACAAATATGCTACAATATGTTTTATTAAGTGATAAGTACACTGCAGAACGGTATACTAATTTGCTAAGTGCTTAAGATGGATTTTGTGGTAAGCATGAGTGGTGAAGGAGCTAAACCCATCAGCTGTTTGCCCTTTGTAAACAAATGACTCCTTCTTACTCTTTTTTCAGATTCTGGAAATGATTCTTGACATGAGAGTCAACTCACACTACCAGATAGGATTCCCAAGACTCCATCATGAAGATGAGAATTCAGGGAGAGAGGCTGATTCCTCCATGATTTCACCATTTTCTCCTTTCTTAATTTTGGATCATGAGTTGAACAGAAGAGTCAAGCAGGCTTACATGAGGAAGGACCAGCAGGAGGTTGAGATACTGGGATTTTCGTCAATGAGTAAGCTGTCTTGTTTTGATTTCCCTGTCACTTTTAAGTGGTAAATCAGAAATTAAATACAGGGTGTCCATAAATGATTACCCTAAAAACAGTATGCTCCCCCTGCTTTAATCAGGGTAATCATTTATGGACACCCTGTATTTTGATCTTAAAAAAATTGTCTTGGGATATATTCATGGTTACAATTACAGTAAACCCCTGTCTATAATGGACCCTGTCTATAATGGACCCTGTCTATAATGGACCTCGTCTATAATGGACCTCAGCTTTAATGGACATTGACCCATTTGGACTAGGTTCATACAGTAGTACCCCGATTTACGCGGTCAATTGAATCCACAGGGTACCGCTTAAAGTGAACAACAGAACATATGGGATTAATTCCAATAGAGACTGGCCCGACCCCCAAACTCCACTTTTTCCGACACAATACCTATGTTGTAGTAAAAATAACATCTAAATTTTATGATGGTATGCTCACACAATTAATATTTAAGAGAAATACAGTCGCCAGGTTAATGTCCATTCAAATAATGGACTCAAATCCCCCCCCCTCTTCCCAGCTCACTGGCCCCTACCTCTCTGAGAAATGATTGGGTGAAACACTAGATTTTAACGTTTAGTAATAAATAATACCTCAGACTAAAGTTAGGATAATATAATTGACATTTCTGGATTCCTTGCAGGTCAGGGAATATTTTGAATGTAAACTTCATATATTTTGCACAAAAGATAAAATACTTGCTTTGTGTAAACCAAATTATTACATTAGATCTAAAATTTGTATGTCTAATGCAAAATCCATGATGTTTATATTCAAAATGATCATCATAGTGTAAGAATTCCAGCAATGTAAATTATATTCTGGCCGAGTAATTTGTATGAATTTTATGAGCTAAAACATATATCTTCATTAAATAAACAAAGAAATATTCTTCAAGGACACTATCTGTCAATCAAAATACTCGGCCCTAGCTGGGTCGGTCCCTCCCTCCCTCCCTACCAGAGAAGCTTTGGGAGAAAATAGTAATTTACATTTTTAGTAATAAATAATAACTCAGACTAAAGTTAGGATAATATAATTGACATTTCTGGATTCCTTGCAGGTCAGGGAAAATTTTGAATGTAAACTTCATATATTTTGCACAAAAGATAAAATACTTGCTTTGTGTAAACCAAATTATTACATTAGATCTAAAATTTGTATGTCAAATGCAAAATCCATGATGTTTACATTCAAAATGATCATCATATTGTAAGAATTCCAGCAATGTAAATTATATTCTGGCCGGGTAATTTGTATGAATTTTATGAGCTAAATAAAAAAAAAAAAAATTATACTTCACGCGTATATGAGTAGATGCACCGCGGAAAGTGAAAGTCCGGTTCTGGCAAGGTACCGCGTAAATGAGAAATCGCGGAAAGTGAAACCGTGTAAAGCGGGGTAATACTGTATATTATTGAGTTCAGATTCATTAAAGTAAAAAATTACAGACCATTTGTATCCAAATGATTACAGCAATACCCCATTTATAACTAACCTACATAACACTGATTTATTATAGAGCTGTTTGGTCCTTTCCTGGAGTTATTTTTTACTGGAAGAAAAAAGTTGAAAATTCAGAATACGAGGCAGAAGTTACAAGACAGAACACTTAGGACTCTCTAACAGTAGCCATGCTTGTTTACAGTCTTTTTGCCAATGAGAGCAACGTATCCATGTTTGCCCACAATCCACAGCCTTCTTTTTATGTAAAAAATTTTCCTAGTGGCATTCAACGTACTTGATGTGCTTGCTCTTTATATCCGCATATTATATACGTAGTGAATATTTGTGACCCAAGTTAATTTTTACTAGAAAAAAAATTTAAAGTCCATAATATGTACAAGTCAGTTGTTCACTTGTACCCGACTGTTCAGTGGTCATTTTTATGCATCCCCCCCTCTCCACATACTGTACACCACTTAAACCAACATGTACAGTACTGTTACTAATGGGTAGAGCTACTTTGTTTATTCTGCTAGTCTGCTGGCTGCCACTCCATTGCCCCAGTTTGAACACTTCTCATACTGTAAACACCAGTTGGTGATGGTAAGTTGGCCACCACCAACACCTCCTCCTCCTCACTTTAAAAGACTTATCTTTAATAGTCTTTTGGCTTAAACAGACTAGCCTTCCTGTCATTTAATCCATTACATTGGGGGTCTACTGCACTGAGGCTTGGGGATATTTTTGTTAGTATAATATAGAAACCAATAATGTACTGTATATACAGTACATTGGGGAAATGTTAGCTGTCAAAAGTACAGCTCATAATTATTGAAGGATTTAGTGATCACTCTAAGATTCATTATTTTAGGTCTCAAAATAAAATTGTTGCTTGAGAAATTATGGAATGATTGTATGTCAAAGATTTGAGCTTTTCTCATTTGCAGAACATGACAGACATGTAGCTCAGGAAATAGCAAATGAAGTAAATCAAGTTGCTGAAATAAGAGAAGTAGCAGGATCAGAGATTTCTTTTCCCAATTACGAAGTTACAAGTCTACCATACACCCAAGCAACAAGAAGAATCATCAACTCCTTGAAGCAAGAGAAAGGTATTTCTCACTTATGTTACACCAGTATGTTTTCCTTAAAGGACATCCCTTGTACCCTCTAGAACACCCAACAGTTCACTGGAGGACATACCTGGTACTGTACATTCTTGTGAAATACTCCTCTGTCTCATTGGTGGAATTCTCTGATATCCCACTAGTTGTATTACCACAACACTGTGGTAGTTAGTTCATTATGGAAGCATCACACTTAGTCCCACCCAGCACTATGATGTTATGATGTATGGTTCTGTGTCAGATAATGTTGTAATATCTGTGAAAGCAAATTTTAATCAATCTACAGCAATTAATTTATTTTGTTTTCTAATTGAAGTTTTATAAAAATATAGTGAATATATCAACATCATGCCAGATAGTGTAGCTATCAAAAGAATTAATAAAATATACTTTGATTTTACCTGAAGAGTAAGGTAATTAGTAAAAAAGAAAGAATCAAGATTGGCATTTCAGGTTAGGTCGTATGGGTCATGTGTTGCATCTGTGACAAAGTGTGTTGACATTTGGGCCTTCATTGTAAGCAACAAAAATTGGAAAGTGAATTCATCAGGTTATCAAGGTCATCTTGGTGATGTGAATGTGTAAATCGATGTAGCATTTTTGTGGTTATTTGCAATTAAAGATTGAAAATATTTAATATTTTATACTTGAATGGAGCTAGGCTGTGTGGGTACAAACTTAAAACCATTGTCATATGCCAAAAAGGGACAGAGGTGGATGGGTTATATTCAAGAGGAAATTAGTGTAGGCATGTGTACCAGTACAGAACAGGGGACAGCAAGACACCCCCCAACACCTCCACTTCCCACCCAGGAGGAGGCGAACGACATGTAAACAATGTCATCTCTGGCTGCACCCCTCAAATTAGGGTGAGTTTAGTAAACGAGGCAACTGCTGAGAATGGAAGGAGACCAGAGTCACTACCAAGATAACAGATGTTACAGAGGACTATTTCCAGCTTGAAAGTCATGTACACTAATACTGACACTTCCCTTGATAAGAGTGCAGAGTTTGAAACCTTACTCAACTCACAATTCTGATATAGGTGTTGTGGAAGTATTGCACAAGAACAGGAGAATCAGCCTGGAGGACTGAGGGTTCATTATAGATGGATATGACTCATTTACGAACTTTTCTCAGGCAAATTGCAAGAGGGGTGTGGTTATCTGCTAGGCATGACATTCGAGCCAACCAGGTGTTTTAATATATACCATTTTTTTTAGCATGCAGTGCAGTAAAAAGTCAGCTCCTCTTTTCTAGTCGAGGCTTCAAGGGAAGCTTCTTGGAGGAGTGAAGTATTGTTGACAAGTTAGTACAGTACAGAACAGGGTCATGAAGTAGTGTATATTGTCCCTTTTGTGTATTATACTGAAACTGCATGCGTTTGTAATTAAAAGATTTTTTTAATTGGATGGCAGAGTGGATATGGCCTTAGCCTCCTGTCTTAAGAGTTACATATTTGTTTTCAGGACACCCCCATTCCACAATACTGCAAATAAGTTGCTTACTTTATAGTTAGGTAAGGTTGCGGAAGTGAATATGGAGTGCTAGCCTCACTTGTTTTCATATGTACCAGAAGGATAAGTTTGTTTATGTGGCCCTGTACTTGCATTGCCCTTGAGAGGCCATCAGGCATATGGAACTCATTGTAAAATTTAGTTCATTGCCGAAGTCTTTCTTTCTTGAAACATAATACAGAATTTTTGTACTTCAGTATAAATTAGGATTTCAGACTTTGCAGTAGGCTTCTGTACAGTAAGATCTCATATTTTGCGTTTTTGAATTTCGCGAACACTACCGAATGTAACCAAGTCTTATATTGGGCGTAAAATATCGCGAGATCCAGCAAGCTGAATGCTGGCCACCGCCTTGAATGACGTCACAGCCCTCTACCAGTTACAGTAGTTTCTGCTACAACCCGTGTTTTGTCAGTGCAAATTGGTTGTAACGTAATTGATGAATAGGGGAACGCTGTTTGCAAAACGCGAACTTTTGCATACGAATGTTGGCTATAGCGTGATTCCATGCTCAATGTTTTGATTCAATCCTTAACGTTTTAAGTGTGGCGCGGGGTTATGCAATGTTTACAGTTTGCGTTTGATATCGCATGTTCAATTGATTCGTGTCTTGTGTTTTTTGAGAGGTCCTCTGTATTTTTTTTTTTTTTGCTAATTCATTTGTTACCTATAAATACTGTATGAAACGAATAAGTAAAAAGAATGTTTTGCAGTAAGGACTCATAACTGTTTACACCAGCACTCTATTTACATCACACGATCAGTTGAATCGTGCGGTTTCTGTCGTTTGCTCCGTGATTTTCGCTGTTTTCTCCAATTTTGTTGTGTTAGCGATGAATATGGAAAGACAAGGTAAGAAGAATGTTTCCAAGAAGCGTTCTGGTGATCGAATTGCCGGTGGTGAACGTAAAGGAGGTTTACAAGAACGCAACTATCGCGTTGTATCCCGCACCATTCTAGTGACCACTCGGGCTGCTAGTGTGTGCTTTTTTGGGTGGTGCTACCTCCTGTCGAGTCAAAATAATGGCCTCTACCTCTACTGGGGATCCTACTGGTGCTGATGGGGTGGGACAGACCCACCTAAGAGGCCAAATAAGGAAAAGGAGAAGCGGGACTATCATAAAGGAGTTAAGTTTGCCAAGTACTCGATGCAGGATAAGCAGCGTATGATTAAATTACTTGAGGAAGGCCTAAAAACTAGTTTCCGGAAAGCACAATCGGGTCAATAAAGGCAGAATTTGTATCATTTGGAGGTTATAAATGGGAAAATTAGAGGTTGATGTAGAATGGCCAGTCTATATTGTTATTTTTGCTTAATCCAGAATGCGACGTTTAGCTTTATACCTACGTATGTAAATGCCTCGCATTAACTTGCTAGGCCAACAAACAGGCAATTGAAACATCTAATAATTACTTAAAAACGTAATATTGGGAGGACACGTCGCTACTTGGCATTTAATTGCAATTCTCAAACCCCCTCCTGCACCCTCCATCACACGCATTGCTGCCGTCATCTTCTTGCTTGGCGAATCAGCTGTAAATTCGCACAAGGAAAGCTCCGCTAATTTGTGTTGTAATAGCTGAAATATTATGTGCCACGAGGATTTTATTTTTGGTATTTATACATCTTAACACGGTGAGGAAATCGAGTGACTTTTATTTTGATTGTCTCTCACATATTGTGTTTGGGGCAATTTTTTATACGGTCTGGTCAAGCATGGCGACCACGGCTCAGCTTCTATCTCTAGGAAGACAGTTGATCTTTAGTGACTAATTTCCTCTGCTTTCAAGTCACTTAGTGAATGACTTATGTTTTATGCTCTTCTGGGCTGATTTTCACTGAAAGAATTATACATGTGCAAATAATGAATACCATGATATATGTGGCCATCCCTCTCCCTCCTCGTATATTCTTTCATGAAACTTTTCGGGCTTCCGCCCTGGGTTTTCTAATTACTCTTAGCATTCAGGCCAGAGTTAAGTCTCCATAGCTCTATTTTATTAATATCCTCAGTAGCGGGTTTAGCCTATGCAGGCGAACTTTACCGACGCTGCTAGTCTTAGTGATCCTTCCGGACGCTGACCTTCCGGTCTTATTAGCAATCTAGAGTTATGTTGGGATGAACCTAGTATCCTCAGTATGGGTTAAATGAGAGCCATTCAGGGTGGAATTCTTAGCCCAGTACATCTTGCTAGAGTAATGGTGAACGATGTTAACTAATGGAGCGCTATGGTAGCAGCTCAGCACTGTCAACCCTTCCGGGTGACTTGATGCTCACTCATGCATCATTAGTTGAAGTGGTGATGTCTGTGCACCCTAATTGGCAACAAATAGAGAACTTGGTGATCCCTCAAAATATAAGTGCTCTAAAATGAAGTTAGCTTGATTATGAAACAAAGTTCGTTGAGCTGAGGGATAATTAAAATAAGAGAAGGGAGAGGTGTATGATATAGTGAGTTAGTTGTTTATGATTGTCACACTGGTGACTTATATAACAATAAGAGATGTTAAATGAAATAACTTATTAAATATCACAGTTAAGAGTCATATTGATTGTTTGGCAGAAAATTTTATCTCCCTTGTATTACTATGATGATACAATGTGATTCGTAATGTTCCTCCTAGTTTAGAGGAGTGATGTGCAACTGGAGGATGAAGGACAATTGTCTGGACTGCTAGATGATAGAAGAGACCATGGAATGGTCCCTGGGGAACTAGTGTTGAGTGAGGAGCTGCAAGGAATGGAGAGCTCAGCTCATACACTACATACAAAGATGTGAATTCAGTAGTAGTAGTAGTTTCACCCAGAACCTAAGGGGACCATAATACATGTAATTATCAAGGATGTAGGGCAACTTGGATTACCAAGTTAGATCCTCATTTGGCTTGCATAATTCATAGCAGCTGTGTCTCAGACAACCTGTTTTCACCATTGGATTGTGCAGTTTGTGATAAATTTTTTTAAAAATAATCAAGCTGCAGGAGATAAGAAGGAATTATCAAAGATCCAAATTAAAAATAGATGGAATAAGGCATTAAAGAGTAAAATTCTAAATGTAAAACACTGGAAAGATCCCAAGTTGGCAGAAGGTTTGTCTCTTACCTATCACCCATAATTCTAATCCCCAGTTAGATCAACCTGCTTCTGCTAAGAAAAGCAGGTTATTGGATATTTAAGGCAAGAACCTCTCTCTAGTCAGCCCAATTTTAGTGGATTCCAGGATCAGGATGAGGAAGTTGGTTTTAATAGTGTTCAGTCACTAGAGCAGGGAGAGCCTGTTGAGACTGACATCATCTTGTCCCCTTTTTGACAACCACTTCCACCTGGGCCAAAAGTGTTGGTTACTATGAGTGGAAACTGGCTGCTGTCGACTCCCAAGCCGCTGATGGAGAATTTTGAGTGTAAGGATGATCCAAGCAGGCCTTGGGTAACATTGGTAAGACCTAAGTCTTCTTTGTTTTCAACC